CACTGCGCCATTATAGCTATATAAGCGCGCCGTTTTTAAATTCTATTCGCGCCGTTTTTAAATTCTATTCGCGCCATTTTTTTAATTCTATAATTCGCGCCACTTTCAAATTTTTGGCGCGAATCAACCTTGACATGCACATGCGAGTGTATATAATTGCAATATAAATCCAGCCTATTTTTGGCATTCATCATTTTTACATTCATGCAGTTATACACCGCCAATGTTTATTACCTATATTGCTGCCATGCACAATGGAACATAATGTGCATCGGAAAATTTACCAATCCGAATACTTCTGATCGAGAAACCCGGCAGCGACTATAAATGAAAACCGTGCATGAACACATTGCTTTTCACTTTCAGTCATTGAAAGGCGCCTACACCACAGAATTTGGGAATGCAAACCGGCTGCAATGTATATAATTCAGCTGTACGCGCAGAATTCCAATCTATAGGGCATGCCGCGTAGACGGACTAAAAATAAATGTCACCAATTAAGAAATCCGACGCAAGTTTTAATGGCAAATTCGCTGATGCAATCATGGACATTTCACTCTGAAACAAAGAACGCATGAAAAGGGAATATATTTTCGTGTGCAAGCCCATGCGAGATTAAGAATACCGAATCACGTTATAACTATGTACAAGCGCACTAACCACATTACACGCATATAATTTTCATCAAATGCTTCAACAAGGTGAAAATCCTCAACTCACAATTGCGTTTAAGAAAAAGCTAGTTACTTATTACACATGCATTGTGATTGACAGTCATACAATGCTAACACTCGCAGCGGTTGAAATAAGCAAAAGTTTAATCACTGGTTTAATTTAGGTAAAAATTATATAAAACGAAACTATCGAAGACTTCCAAGGCCGGTTGTAAAGCGCTATCCACCGGATAGTGGTTTTTGAATCGCTTTAAAATCGCCCGTTAACTTTGATTAATTAAATCTTACAGTATGCCGAAAAAAGGATATACTCTTTAATAAGCTGAAATTTCAAAGCTGAAATTTTATTCCTTGAATTCATATCACTTTCTAAAAAAAGGGCACTTACGAGCATGCAAAAATTTATTCTGCTCCAATTTATTTGCATTTGTTTCCTACGGCTTTGAGAAAATATTGCATGCTTATATATGAAATACTTCCAACTGGAATTGGGCACAAAAAATCGAAAACTATATTGTCTAAGTTAGCAATCAAGAGGCAGTTCAATAACTTGAAAACCATAACCTGAAAACCATATGCACACATTAGAAACTTGCGCTGCCAGGGAGATATTCCACAGAAAATATCACAAACCCTGAATCAATTTGTTAACTCAGCACGAGTTAACTCAGCACAAATTTGTTAACGCAGCGAGTAAGCGACTTAAGCCTTATTGTACATAGGGTGTATAAAAAACTACAAACCTTTTTGAAATCAGATATTTACATAATTTTAAAACAGACCAAACGAAGGCCATGGAGGGCGCGTAAAACACAATTGATCATGCTACGGTTACGGTAACGGCGTAGGGTTAGTGTTACTAACGAAAACATATGCAAGCAAAGTAAATTGTGTACATAAACACACAATAATATTTTTATTGAACACTGCGTGTTTTCGCGTAATTTGACACGATAAGCACTCTCGCCTTTGCTCTGCGGCCAGCTGAGCCATTCGTAGCCGAAGTTATATAATATTCCTAATTTGCATTATAACTCAATTTGTGTTATCCGAAGGACAAAGATCTACTTATTCTATAGAAACTATATAGTGTTTGCACTTTTTTGATACTGCGTGTATATTACATGTGGTATATATATATATATATATATATATATATATTAATATATATATATATATATATATATATATATATATATATATATATATATATATATATATATATATACGCCCGTTTGCAAAAACGTTGGCCGCAGATAGATATATAGATAGATACCCGAAATCTAATTAGAATTGCACATGTTGTTTAATATGATTGAAATCCCATGCAAATGTAATCATATGCAATTCTAATTAGACTTCGAGTATCTATCTATCTATCTATCTGCGGCCAACGTTTTTGCAAATGGGTGTATATATATACATGCACTAGGTTTGCTCACAGCTGTTGATGCATGTATTCTTTTAATTAATAGGATACTGCATGTTCAAGTATACTAAACAACAACATACCACAGATAACACAAATAAGTAGCTGAAATGCCTAACCAATGATGAATACCAGCATAAGGGTGTATATATGAAAAAAGAAGACCTTTAGAAATAAACCCACTCTTATAATTTAAATGCCTGATCAATTTGCTAAGCCACGGGTGCGCAAACAAGCACAATCGAATCTCATGCATGCATGGCAAATAATCATAGTTTTTTCAATACGCTTTACAATTTAGTTTTATAGAAACCGTGCTTATTCAATCCCAATGACAGTAATTTGACTGCAGGGGTAAGGCATTTTATGCTCTTGTGATACTATTATATTCACATTCTTATGAGTTAATCCACTTTATCAATTTTCAACACCCCATATGAAACTTTATCTCTACTGCATGCATGCATAGACAATCGTGCGAGGTATGAACTTTCTATAGAGGACTGCATGCATTATCGATACAAACTAAGCTTTCAAATTTACAAATGTTCGAAACAAATTATGTAGATCTCAAACGTGGCTACTTTATATTGACAAAAGCAGGACCGAAATTAGATTCGAAAATTAAGGGGGAAGCATATATTTTCATTCTACCAATCTGTCCGACTGTCCGACAGATTAAGAAATCCGTTGGGCACAAGAGAATATATGAATACGCATCCCCTCCCCAATTATCACGCTAATTTCGGCCTACAAAAGACTGCATGATCTTACTTACCGGCCACTGTTGAGCCTTTCAATGAAACCAAATTCCGTGCTGGAAAACATTGCATAAAACATTCGGCTGTGAATAGCGAGACTTTAATATTCTTCCCATGACATTCAAACTGGCACTTCACTGACGCCTTACAAGCCAACAATTCATCAAGCAATATAGACAACTATAGCCAAATGAATAAATAAAGCCACAGCATAACACTGTAATATCTACGTACAACATTTCCATGCAAGGCACGCAGCAACGCACTTCTATAGCGCTCACAACCAAACCTAAGTTCAATGAAATGCTATACCTAGAGGTCGTCAAATAAATACACGACTTGACACATGACAAACGTCTCATCTTGATTATGTCGCAACAGTGTTACCCAGCACTCGTGCTATTTTTGGCGTACCGTAAATGATCGATTAAGCGCCGCTACTCGAATAAGCGCCGCTGTCGAATAAGCGCCGCACCTCAATAAAAAGAATTTAATAAGCGCCGCTGTTGAATAAGCGCCGCGGCGCCTATTTAGGAAGATATAAATAAACGCTAAAAAATGTAGAAATAAACGATTCTTTATTTAAACGCGTTAATCTTAACATTTAAACTATTGAGAACGACGGCCAGTATTGAAACTAAAGTTTTATTGTCGAATATCTCTTACAAACGGGCTCATATGACAGTTCTGATAGTTTAAAATTTTCCTTCTTCCTAATTAACTCCGTGTCTAACACTTGGGCATGTCGTCGATTCGCCGTAAATGCTGTGAACTTAGCGGGAATCACCAGCCCAACTTCGCGCTTTCTTTTTCATGTAACCTCTACCAAAAGTTTGTTCGATTCATCGGCCTTCAGAAAATAATCTATTTGCTCACTTTGAAATAAGCGCCGCTGTCGAATAAGCCCCGCTGTCAAATAAGCGCCGCATCTTAAAATCGATATTTGCAATAAGCGCCGCGGCGCTTAATCGATCATTTACGGTACTCGGACTATAAGGTTTCCATGTATGTAGTCAAGTCCTAGTAGAATTTGCACGGGCGGACTGCATGTTGCTCATCACGTAAAAAATCGAAAGACAGGGTTTTAGTTATACCACCAGCATTATTGAAGGAAAACTACATTTTTCCAAATGATTTATGATCATTTTATGATCATTTTATGATCATTTGGCCCAAACAATTTATCATCATTTGGCAAATTTATAGGTAGCTATATATAGCTATTCTGTTTAAAAAAAAACCAAAAAAGCCATAAAAATTGTTTTAATTAGCAAATCCGTCATAAGTTTCCAAAAGTAAAAAAAAAAATATGTTTTCTATTAATTGGAAACACCCCCTCCATTTCGTAGCACTAAGGGCTGTACATGATCAAGGGAATAGGGACTCTTTACCAAGCGTTTACTATCCCCTAGTTTTTGCGCAGGCACCGGTAGGAAAAGTTAGTCCCGGAGGCCGAGACAAAGTGTTTACATGGATAAACGTTGTCCCTACCATGCACTATAGGGTTATCCTCTTTGGTAAACAGGATGTCCCCCACCTACCAACCGAGGCGGTGAGTGTAAAACCTTTCATATAAACACTTGCATATAAACATATATAATAAATGCTCCAACGAATTTGTCTTTATTTTATATTATATATTGGATATTCGAATTCGAAGCTTTCAACTATAGAACATTCTATATTTCCATTTTTCGTGTGTGTTTCAAGCAAAAAACGAACATTTATTCGTTCAGTTTCAAATATTTATTTACTCAAAGTATTTCGTTAAAGGTTTGTTTTTATCGTGCATTTGCAAAATGAATAAAATACAGTGCTATAATCACCGAAGCAGTTGTCACCGCAGTATATTCATTCGTCGCAAATTATCTATAGGTCAAGCGCATGTGGGAGCTGATTAAGGCGTTATTTACTTTTCATTTAATTGACTTTATTTTTCAGTTGAAAAATGTACTATATTTTATCTCATAAACTATATAAAATAGTATTAATGGAAATTGAACTGCAATATTCATATATATAGTCTATATTCGCTACTTAGCTAATTTGGAAGTTAGAGATCATGCATATATATATATATATATATATATATATATATATATATATATATATATATATACGAACAATTTTCGATGATTAAACTGCAGCGGGAGGTCATTCCAAGCCACAACTCCCCTGTAGGCAAATTTTCCATTTATTTTTAATTGATTAGGTAATGTTAAATGAAGTATCGAATTTGTCCTAGTAAACATTTCCGTTAACTTTGGTAGCATGTTATTTCTATAACTTAGAATCGCTAAGTTGACGTTTTCTAATTTAGAAACTCCATTTCCCAAAATTTTCTAATTTAAAACTCCATTTGCCTTTGGTGTTTTTGTGAAGAACTTGCCAAACGACCAACCATGTCAGACGACCAAGGAATGCGATCAACACGCAGAAACAAGGTAGCGTTTAAAATAAAAGTATTTATATTATATGGACATGCATGGGTGTTCTACCGTATAACACTCATATTTTCCATATTTCACCAGTGAAAAATAAAAAAAATATGTAATGGGTGTTTTTTGTTTTACAGCTTTGTTTTGTTTTATTATTAATAATTTATTGAGTTTCTTCTCATTTTTGTCCATAATAAACGGAACATTCGCTGGAAGATATGGATTTTTCATATGTTCTCTTGTCAAAAAAAAATCTCACTCATTCCATGCGCTCACTCGTTTTTACTACTCGAACACACAACCCATATTTTCTTGCAACCGTTTAATATCCTATACCGCCCCAGATTGAGCACCACCCCAAAATGAGCGCGCCGCATTTGCGATTACTGCAGCCTAATATTAAGAGGGCATTTTATATCTTATAGAGAAAAGGACAATTCTCCCTACCTAAAGACGAAGAACACCTCGAGGAAAGATACATCGATGATGATATCGGTACTAAATCAGTATAATTTAATTTTCTTGACCGGCAGACCGGCCCATATAGCAATTGCCAGCTACGCTTATATCATAAACTTTATACATATAATTATCAAGTCATTCTATTTTTCCATTTTATTATTCCATTTTTCAGGTCGAGGAGTTTTTACCACAAAAACATTCTCCAAAGGGGATTTCCTTCTAGAATACAAAGGGGAATTAATTTCTCAAGAGGAAGGTTACATTAGAGAGAAGAATTACCCTGACGACCTTGGAAGCTTTCTTTTCTTTTTCCAACAAGGAAATGCCTCATTGTGGTATGTTCAGGCTAATAACGTCCATCCAAGCACTGCTTCAACATTTAGGACTGCTTTTCACTTACGCGATTTTCATACGCACGTACACGCACGTAAAAGTCTAAATCCTTATATATGTCATAAAGCCAGATGAATATATCGAAAGAACCTAGTTTTCCGTATATTTTAGTATGCAATTGTTGATCCATGTGTTAAATATAATCAAAATTGGAAGCATTTAAATTTTTCTGCGCGTAAAAAAACGAGACAGTGGAAGGCAGCCCTTACTAAGTGTTTGAATAATTTGCTTGAAATATATTTTTAAACAATGAGTATTGTACGTGCTCTTTCGTTGAACCTAAATTACTACATTGGCTCGATCGTCATGTTTGCTGTGACTGTTTTAAATTCAGGCTTAGGTGTTTCTTTTTGAAAGTGCTACACCTACGCGGCCTGGAGCCGAAGAATGTCGCTTCTATAAACAAATTCTCCTGAAAGGTCGAAATAAGGTCATTTTATTTGAAAATTCAGTCTTTCAACAAGTGCAATCATTTCGGCAGGATAATAATATTTTCTTCCAAAAAACTTCCATTGTTGTTATGCACGGTAAATGCCTCAGATGCACAAGCACAATTATTGTACTTTGAACTATAGATGTCCAAGTTGAAAATTAATCAATCTTCAATGAACTTATACAATTGTTCAGTTTTTGTTTCACTGCATGATATCTTTATGAATTCTGATGCATTGATACGCCTTAGCAGCAGTTGGTACAATTGCGGGTTGAAATGCGTGTTACTATAAACGAGTTTTATATACACACAAAATTCCAACTATGGACTCTTATGTATATTAACTAAAATTATATTACAGTGTCGATGCAACTTATTCAGACGGACTTGGAAGACTGGTTAATGATGCCGAGGCAAGAGTGGCGAATTGTCTGATGAAAAGACTCATCATTAATAGTCAACCTCACTTGGCAATTTATGCTAAGAGGGATCTATGTAAAAACGAAGAGTTACGCTACGATTACGGTGTGAAGGACCTTCCATGGCGAATTCAAAAGGGTATATAAATGACATAAATTAAACTTGCATGTCTTTTATAGCTCAACCGAAATGAATGACAAACTTAGCAAACTTGACAAACCATTTTATACGGTCTGAAGAAAACTTATACTTTTTTAAAAATTGACCACTGGATTCAAATTATTATAATTCTAATTAACCATTATACCCTACAGACCGATTAAAACACAAACGAGAAAAATTCACAGGGCTAACGATCGCAGAGAAGGCAAATGAAAGTGCCAAAGGTTGGTTAGAATAACTGAAAAGATAGAGTTTATATTTACTTAGCAAACATGCATCTTTGAAGCCAATTTGAAGCCGAATTGAGCACCAGAGTCCCTTTCTATTCTTTTTCGGTGCGATTGCCAGCAGTGGCGTAGCCAGCATCATTAATTGGGGGCATATATTCATATATATTCATGTTAGAAGACTGTAAAGACGATTGATTTGAAAAGAAATTAATCCTGCATGCGTATCGTTAATATATGAATATGCCCCCCCCCAACTAATGTTCTGGCTACGTCATGCACCGATCGCCAGCCGTGAAGGCAAAAAATGAAAATAGACTTCATGGCACCATGGTTCCTAATTGGCTTCAAAGGTGACCACCAAGTTATAGTCCCAGTTCACATAGAGCACCCATGGTTTGTCCTTGTGCCTTAGGGCGTTTTCATATCGGGGTACTGTAAAATCTTGTAGTAACGTTATCTAATAGAAGATTATAGTCAAACTCAATATTGCAAAATATCATTATATATTATATTCATATTTCGATAATAAAACAATGCAATGAACTGTTTTTAAGTAGCATTCAGTGAGTATAAACTATAACGCAGAGGACGCCGGAAGATCGATAAAAGACGATAATTGGGGGGGGGCATATATATTCATATATTCAAGTTCACAGACCGTAAAAACAATCAATTTCAAAAGAAAGCAATAATGCAGAACTCGAATATATATGAATATATGCCTCCCCAATTATCGATGTTTCGGCGTGCCTGCTATAACGAACATTGCCTGGTACAAGACTTTTAGTTTCTGTAAAAGCTTATTGAAAATACGCTGATTTGTAGACCAACAAAATGAGGACACTCCCCTCGGATCCATGGTTATTGATGATCATGCTCAAGTTACTAGTAAGTAGTTGTTAGTTTAATGCACGACATTTACGCCTAGATGCAGTTAAAGTAGCATTAATAAATTTTTTCTACGTCTGCAGGCCAAGCGAACAACCAGAGTAACATTTCGTGTGTCACGCCTGTGTTTCCACAAAGGCATTTGGAGGATTATGTCATTACACGTATGTGATTGCTCATGTAATTTCACAATTGAAACTTTTCTTAACCTGTATCTGAGGAATATAAAAAAATAAAACAAGGGCAGCAGCTACTTTCATGCATGCAGTAAAACTAAGCAATATCAGATAAGTTGATAAAAAAGCAAGCCATTGCTGTTAGCCATAGAGATTTCATGCAGAGGTGACATTTAGTTGTTGTTAATTGTTGGGTGCTCATTTGAAATATTTTTATAACTATGTAACGAAGCCTACACCCATGACGAGTCTGTCGCCTTGGAAACAGACAATCATGTCCTGGTTGCCAGTAAGTGTTGTAAATTTAGTGTACGTTATAATATACATTCTCGGACAGGTATATATGCCGTGGCGTAGCGAGCCCGACAATTTAGTCATGCTATGCTAATATTTTGGTGTTCATTGACTGTGAAAACAATGAATTTCTAAGGAAATGAATAATGATAATAATATAAAATTTGCGTAGCATGACTAAATCGTCAGGCTGGCTACGCCACTGTATATAGATGTGAAGAGGGGCGTAGCTAGAACGAGAATCGGAGGGCGAGGCTGTTTATTCAGATATCTATTTCTGTCCGATGGATTTCTTTTGTAACACTTACAAAAGAAATCCGTCGGCCATGCCCTGAATATAAACTGGATGTGAAAATATTTCTTCCAGAAAAATGATATAAATGTAACGTTCTCTTAACTCTGAACAGCTACGGCTACTTAATTGACGAGGCAAAATAAACTAATGAAAAAAAAGAAATCAGTTTAATATTTAAAAACAAAGTATAGCTGCATGTATACTGCATGCACAGCTTAACGAGAAAATGATCCAAATATTCGTGCATTCACATTAGTATGTCTGCTTTACCTCGAATGACCAACTTGAAGAGGCTTAAAGTTTTTAACAAAACAAACCGATTTTAATTATGAAAGGTCCATCATGTATGTCCACAAAAATTAACGTAAATTATAGCACCCGTTATACCTTTTGATTATAACTCCCGTCTGTATAGTGTGACCTCTGGTTAGCCTTAGTAGTTGTGTATTTTCATTGAAGTTTACCTTCATATATGTAGAACAAGAAAATGACGATGCGACAGTTTCCAACGAAATAGATGACTACGCTCAGATTACATGTAAGTAAAAAGCTAGAGCGAATATAAATTGGATAAACCTAAAGGAATTTTACCGAATGGAATTTTTTCAATTAACTGACGTTCACTCACCCGTATTCTGGCATTTGAAACACCTTACTTCTTGCCCATAGCCTTCTGGCCCTATTCCAACACCGCAAAATATATGGACAGCACGATGACATGATGCGCACATATGTGCCCCCGATACCTCCCCAAAGCAAACATGGCACTGATCATCTGTTATATCTAAAGTTTGAAATTACATGTATACTACGAAGTGCAGAAAATGTCAGATTGTTTATCTTTTTTAGTCAAGTTACAACGTTTACTTACTGGTAATCTGCATGGAATGATCATCGATCTCCATGGAAACTATAGTAGATTCATTATGGTGTTCTACATGTATGTAAACATTTATATTATATATTTATATATTGAATTATATGAATTATGTACATTACCTTGTACCAGATAATCACATGCACTGATGTACCGCGTAAGAATAATTGCTTACTATTGAATGTATATACTCCGAATATATTCAATTCCCGTGGTGTAACGTTGATGCAATAATCTTTGCTAAAGAGGAATATATAACTATAATTTATATTCTTGTATATAACTTACTCTGCTGGATTTGTCCATCAATTTCCATGGAAAATTCTGCACCGGTAGCAGAGTTGTCTTTTTCTTGTTCTATATTATATTATATAAGCATAAACTTTTTAATGTATGATACATATTCCTAAAGGAAAACATTTTATAAATAACAATATAACGTATATCTTAGGAATTAAACCGTTACCATAAGCTTTCGATCAAACAATACGTGTAACGTAATTTTTTAATGCCATATTGTGAATTGGCAGCATGCAGATATATAAGTTATAGTTGATGTGCCGTTATATTTCATATGTATCTTGTATAGAAATGCATATAATCACATTTGCATGGGATTTCAATCAGATTACACAACATATGCAATTCTAATTAGATTTCGAGTATCTATCTATATATCTATCTGCGGCCAACGTTTTTGCAAACGGGTGTATATATATATATATCTTGACTGGTTTAAAACTTGTTGAGACCTACCAATGACACTTTCCTTTAATTTCTCTTGTTTATCAATCACTGACAGTGCTTTATAATTGTGCAAAAAAGTAATGACAGTGTCATTATAAGTTTATTTTTTACTTATATAGATTTATATAGATGGTATACGAGACAAATATCAAGGGAAAATAGGGTGGCTACTTTTTGCGGATTCGTGAACAATGATATTGTGCACAAGACACAAATATGGCTGCGTTTATTTTTTCGCGTTTTCCTGTGAATATAGCTATTTAGCTATGCATGACTGCCACTCATTTCTGGCTTCAGCTAAGGTGGCTACAAATTCCCCTTAAAAACAAATGTTTATAGAATGCATTAAATAACCTGACGTATTATCCTAAAATAAATTAAACTCTAGGTTTGACATGGTGGAAATTCTTGGAAAACGAAACAGAAAAGTTCCCGTGTTGCTGACACCTGATGTAAAAGCTGCCATACTTGTCTTGAACAGGACAAGGGAAGATGGGAATGTGAACGAAGAAAATCCCTATGTTTTCGCAGTGAATGACGGAAGTTCAAAACAGTTTTTACGAGGGAACGATGTTATACGTCAGGCATGTAAAATGGTTGATCTTAAAAATCCCGACGTGATTACTTCAACCAACCTCCGAAAGTATGTGGCAACTGTGTCGCAGCTCGTTGACATGGATCAAAATGAATTGGGATGGCTGGCAACTCATCTTGGTCACGACGTGCACATCCATAAAGAGTTCTACAGGATGCAAGAAAGCACACTTGAGATGGCAGTAGTTGGTAACCTCTTAATGGCCATCGATGAAGGGAGGGCACACGAATTTAAAGGGAAAAACCTGCGGGACATTACACTTCAAGGTATTGTCAGAATGATAAAATTATTACATCAAACACCAAAATAAGCGCCGCCATACGGCAGATAACTTACAATTATTTACATTAACTGATTAGTATAGGTAATGATAAGAATAGGTGAAGAAGAAGAATTAAAATTTCTTATCTTATTCCAGACTTTCACAATACTCAGAGTGAAGAGGATGCCGAGTCTGAGTTAGATAAAGGTAAATATTTCTAATTAACACTGTTATACCAATTCCAGTGGTGGTGTGATCCAGGTGCTGTAATATTGCGGTTAGTGATACACAGTATATATATATATATATATATATATATAAATATATATATATATATATATATATATATATATATATATTGTGTATGTGACATAAAACTGTTCAATTTCAGTTAACAGGCTCTTGGAGACACAATTTATGAACATTAATACATCACACAAAACCTATATATAGGCAGGTTATATGCAAATCCTATAGGCAACTACATGTACCCTTAGTGGTTATAGCTTCAGCCGGCATCCGGATCTAAATAAACTTCGTAACTTTCTTAACTGAATTTGCGCGTTGATACGAACGCTAGTAAGGCACGTTTCTCTCTGTCTCTGGGTCTCCGTTAGTAAAGTTTATCAACCTTCGGTTCATTGCGACAGGTAAAGTTGCTTAATTCAAACAGCATATTATATACCCAACAAAGCCTTCAACAACCGTGTGTTATACTGCATATATTTATACGTAATCCTGAAATTCTTCAGGCCAAAATCTTTAATCTGAAGTCCGAAAATTGCTAAATTGCACTTTCTATGTTACTAAATATCTCAATATATATATATTGTAGAAAACCGATTCCCCCAGAGCAACATAACATCGCCATCGCTAACTTCTGCTGGCAAAAGGACAACGACCAAAAAGGGTAAGGCTACATATGTGGCTTTTACTAACATTAATTGCTCTCAAACAATAAATCGCTTTGCGAGCAAGTGGTACAATTGTCTTATAATATAACTACTATAAATACCATTTTATGAGCGAAATAAACATTGCATAATTGCAATTAATTTCAGTCAATCTTTATCCCCACATACAAAGAAGTCCGAAATCCAATCCGAAAAAATATAAGGGCCTGAAGCCAATATGATGCGCACGTAAATTGGCAAAAAAATCATCAGTTGACTTACCAGGTTGTTTTCAGCCAAGCAATGTTCAATATTTTCTAAAACAGAAAATCAATATATATTACATATAAGATCTCCATGTATGGGATTTTCAATGGCTTAAATTTTCAATGCTAGACAGTTTTAAACTTTTTAACCCTAGGAACGAACAAGTCCACTGAAAAGTCTAAAAAACATTGTAACAAGAAAAGGGGAACCTCGAGGCAGGTAAGATTGTTGCAAAAATTTTAATTTCTGCATCATCAGTGACGCATGAATTTGTATAACGGTTAACCACACTGACTGTAACATATTGACAAACACTTGAGGAACGAAGCAGACACTTACTCAGGCCTAAGTAAATTTGCTCTCATTAAATTTCACCTCTGCTATTGCATCGTTATCAATTCTTTATCGTCTTCGAATAACATGCTATCTAACGCACAAAGCAAAACCATGCAGCCGATTCGCGACAGAAAAGTTCGTAACTCTCACAATATTAAACATAGAATGCATGCAGTCCATGAATGCTTATCATATATATGTATAGTAGCTATTTTTGAGACCTTGGGAAATATTTCCCTATGCGGACCTCCAATCTGGTAAATCACATATATGGTAAATCACATATATTTACTCGTTAACACATGCACGAATTAAAGTTTTTTTATTTGTCCGAAAAATGTGGATATTAACATATCATAATGCGTGGTCAAGAGTCATATGCTCAGAGGTTTCAAATTAAAAACGATATACTAACAGTCCATACCCATGA